CTCTGTAAACCGCTTAGAGAGGCCTGAAAGGCCTATGAAGCGGTATATAAGTCTACTGCTATTGCTGCTATTGCTATTGCTATTGCTACAATGGGAAAGATTGTGGGCAAAAGAAGAAGGTGATGGCAGAGAAAGAGGTGACTGGATGGAGTCACAGAAACAGTCGGCGTGACCTTAAATGGACTCCGGGGAATGGTAGATGACAGGAAGTCCAGGAGGAACATTGTCCATGGGGTCACGATGGATCGGACACGACTTTGCGACTAACAACAACAACAACCTTTTATACTCATTCTGTTTGGCATTACCTTCCAAGGATGAGTAATGCCCGTATAGTTTTGCAAATTTCTTACTCCTATCCCTAGATATAAGAATAATAGCAGGATGTTTCTAGTCACAGACACAGTTTTCACATGTGTGTTAAATAAATTGCACAGATGATCCATAAGCATATTTTTACACAGTTTCATTGTCTGTATACACCTGTAGCCTTATTTCTGACATACTCACAACATTCATGGTTTCCTTTTCCTTCTTTTTGAATATTGATTGCATTTCTTTTGATTCCATTCTTCAATGCACCACTAGCTTTTCCATATAAATATTTAAAATACTCCTTTCAGCTTTCCCTCTTTTCAATTTAACTCCAGTTGATTTCACCACTTTTAAAAGTTTTTTAAATTGTTTCACTGTGTTGTAGGCTTCTTACTTAGCTTTCTTCACTCACTGGAAACAACATTTTGTGTAGAAGATGACCAGGCTGAGTCTGAGGGAAGGGTCAAACATATCATAAGACACAAGTCCTTCAAGAGATCCAAGTCCAGCTCACTTTGAATGCCTCTCTTATCTCCCGTTCATTTCCCTTAACTATCAGTTGGTCAGATATTTGTAGAGAGCTTAAGGTTGCAATAAATCTTTATACTCATATGAATCTACCTGAATTTCCTGAAAATTACACACACACACACACACACACGTATATACACAGATACATTCACATACACATCTATACCTACACATACATGCATACATACCCGTACATATATACGTATGTACGTAAATATGTGTGTGTGTATTTTGACTCATTTGTTCCGGCAGCCATTATCTTCAATATATCTTCAGCTTCTTTTATTTCTGCATTCTCACAATATCCTTCCCCATGGTCTTCACACATGTTCATAGTCTTCAATGTAATTCATTTCCTTCTATTCCTAGCAGCCTTTACTCAGAAACCTGTTTTGTGTTTATGCCCTTTTTAGATAAACTGGTGGTTGCAGTCTATGATTATGAAACAACTCATGAAGGAGATCTGCCGCTTCGGACAGGAGAACAACTAAGGATACTAGAAGAGTAAGCTAGCTTCCATTCTGGGGCACAATGTTATTCATCAGCAAAAGGAATGAACTCTTCTGTCTGAAAACAGCTAAGTTGCATTGAAGGCTTGCATTCCACTAAGAATCATGTTATTATCAGTAATATTGGCGAATGAGGACTTAGACATTCATTTATACTCTGAAGGGTTTCTAAGTGGGCTGTGAGAACCCTCAAGATTAATTCAGCCCAACTGATATAAAACTGAAAGGCCTTGTAAGTATGTATGTGTACACACACACACTGACACACAGACAATGCACCATAGGTGGGTTCTTACTGGTTCAGACTGGTTCGGGTGAGTAGGTAGTAACTTGACCTGCCACGCCCCTGCACTGGTTCTCTTGGCGGTGCCTATGGTGTTCTTTGCTTCTGTGCATGCCCCAAAGCAATTTTTTTGGTATGTGAAGCACGTCTCTGAGTGAACCGGCAGTAGCAGCCAGAATTCACCCCTGACACACATGCAACCACACACAAACACAAGCCAAAACAATGTAAGAATTCCATGTTTTTGTCATGGTTGAATTCAGTCTCTGAGTATGGACTTTCTACCAAGGCACACAAATTCATTTACTGCCCCTAATCGTTTATATATGCATAAGTTGTGAAGTATATTTAAAAAAGGGTTGGGCTTTGATTGGCAGGCTGCACTAGCCATCTTGATCTATTGGACACCCCGCTCTCCCCAGTGGATTCTCTGGTTTTGGAGTATATCCCACCCAGCTTCACTGCCCTGAGTGGAGGGATTGATAAAACACATCACAAAAATTCATTGTGCAAAAATTATACTGTGATAATGGGAAGGAGCTCCTTGTTTGGGACAGTGGTGGGTTTTGGATTCCGTTGCAACCGGTACTGTTGCAATGGGGCCCAGCACCCTCCACATGCATGTTACCCTCCAGTGATGCCTCCACGAGCCTCCATGACGTTCCAGCTGCTTCATGGAGCGTCGCGCAGGCGCTGTACACACTGTGTGCAGAAGCGTTGAAGACTTTAAAGACAGTTAAGGATGACGGAGGGCAGGTGAGCCCTCCGGAGCACCATACCAGAACGGTATCCAGTGCTCAGGGCAGGCACCAGTACGCCCGTACTAGGGCGTACCGCCTGCAACCCACCACTGGTTTGGGACCAGTGCCTTATGTCCAGCTGACATGGCTAAAGAAACACAAACTGGAAGTAGTAGAAATAGGGTTGTCCAAACCTCCATTGGGTTCATTCCCTGCCTTTGTCTCTTGGGTAGGGATGGGGTTGAAGAATAAGGAGATGGACAGACAATTCTTCTCTCTTTTAGGACAGGAGAATGGTGGAAAGCTCAGTCTCTCACCACAGGACAAGTAGGCAATATACCATGCAACTTTGTCGCCAAGTTGAACACACTGGAGCAAGAGCCGTGAGTAGCAAGAACTGTTCTTCTCCATGTCCATTAGCTACACACAGGCTGTATTTTTAAAGGTATCAAAACAGGTAGTCCTTGATTTACAACAATTCATTTAGTGACTGTTCAAGGTTACGATGGTGCTGAAAAATGTGATAACCAGTCCTTTAACTGTAGCATCCTGTAGTCGTCTGATCATCATTTGCGACCTTCGTAGCCAGCTTTTGACAAGCATCAAAACAGGTTATAAAATCAAGTGTGATCACCTGATGCTTCATTTAACAATCACCACTTAACAACAAATCTTTTGCTTCTAATTATGGTTGTAAATCAAGGACTGAGTGTAATGAGGCTTAAACCCCAGCCCAAATCATGCTTATTCAAGTTTAGGCTATTGGTAAATTAATGTATTGATAAATCTGTCTAACTGTTGATTGCATTAAGAAAGTTTCATTTTGATTTTCTTAACAGAATGCAAATGTTACTTATGCAGGTACACTACTAAAGGAATGCATGTGTTTTTGTGTGTTTTATATATTTTTCTGTGGAATGAAAATGTATGTGTATTGTACTTTTTTAAAAAAATGTTGCCACTCACACAAATACAGTTAGTCCTCGATTTACAACGGCAGTGAAAAAAGTGACATGGCCATTTTTCACACTTATGACTATTGTAAGAGCCCCGTGGTCCTGTGATTTATATTCGGATGCTTGACAACTGACTCATATTGGGGACAGTTGCAGTGTCACAGGCTCATGGAATCCCCTTTTGCAAACTTCTGACAAGAAAGCCAATGGGAAAACCTAATTCACTTAACAACCATGTCACTAATTTAACAACTGCAGTGAGTCACTTAACAAATGTGGCAAAAAAAGTCGCAAAATGTGGCAAAACTCACTTAACAAATTTCTCACTTAGCCATACAAATTTTGGGCTCAATTATGGTCATAAGTTGAGGATTTTCTGTATATTCAATTGCTAAAGCTGAGTCCTTCTCTGTCAGCTCAGCTCCTCTTCTCTAACCTTATACTCAGTAAAAAGAGTTAGACATCTACATTCCAGAGGTGGTATTCAGCAAGTTCTGACCAGTTCTGGAGAACTGGTAGTGGAAATGTTGAATAGTTCGGAGAACCGGTAAATACCACTTCTGACTGGCTCCTCCCCCATCTATTCTCTGCCTCCCATCCCAGCTGATTGGGAGGGAATGGGGATTTTGCAGTATCCTTCCTCTGCCACACCCAGCAAGCCATGCCATGCCCACCAAGCCATGGCCACAGAAGTGGTAGTAAAAAAAATTGAATCACACCACTGCCACATTCCTAATGTATGGTCCAACAATCTCAATCTCAGCAACTCTGGACTTCAGCTCCCAGAAAGAGGAATTCTGGAACCAACTGCAAGAGATGGTCTTACACCTTTAGAAGGCACCAGGTTAGAGAAGANTCCCATCACCCTAGGGCTGAAGGGTGAGATCTTTGTTATGTAGAATAGACTGGCTCAGGCCTTTTAATGGCCCATTGACCAAGCTGGGGGCTATTAAGAGTAAGTCTGCTTCCTGCCTAAAAACATGTTTCTCTGTTTCTGATCCAGGGAAATATAATATTCTGCCTTTTTAATATTTCCCAGGATATTTCATTTTTCTAGGAGTGGGAAGGGTGGGTGCTAACTACCTACAGTATAAAACAATGTTTCCCAACCTGGGCAGTTTTAAGGTGCACATTTTAAAACTGTCATGGTTGGAAACACTGGTATAAAGTCTCACCCCAAAGTTTCCCCACCCCGCTTATGTATTCCAACTTTTCTTTGAAATACGTGTTCTGTTTCTGGCCAAGTTTTATACCTGATTTCACAGCCGACAGGATCAATTTTCATTTTAGCCAGATCAGGAAATATAGAGCATCATAAAACTACCAGAGAATAATACTAATTTTATTTGAGTGAGGAGGAAGCATTTTAGTTTCTTCCATTGTTTTTAAAAATGTTTCTACCTCACTTTTCAGCTCTCTTGCAATTAAAGCCTGTTTGATTTCAGTTAGCATTGTTTCTCCTGCAGAGGCCCAGTTTAAATGGTTATGAGTTGCGCACTCCTCTGTTGGCAGCCGAAGAAATTCCACCTCCTGGTTCACCCCTTCAAGGTAAGCATTTTGTTTTCCTTTCAACTTTGGATGTTGGCCAAGGCCTTGCAAAGACTTGGATCTGTGCAAAGACCGGATTTCTTAGCAATGCAATGCAATAAATTTGTGGCATCTTAGGATTGGTTGGCAAGTCGAGGGGTTGGGGGGGGGCGCAAATGTAGGGCAGAGAACAAAATAAGGGGACTGCATCCACAGATGGGAAAGATTGCAGAAATGGGGTCCATGTCTTATGAAAATTGTTACTCAGATTTGTTGTTGGCAACTTTAAGAGTTGAGGACTTCTGGGAGTTAAAGTCCACAAGTCTTAAAGTTGCCAAGTTTGGGAACCCCCTGCTCTAACTATTGTTTCAGTTGTTTCAGTCTCTATTAATGTAATTCTTTGGCACGTCAAAAGTCAGACTGGGCAAGAAATCTGATTCCCATTGAGGCATCTGTGACATTTTGACATATTGACACCTCATGCACCACCCTAGGGATCTCAAGGACAATTCTGTCCTTTTTGGTGGGTGTGGCATGGCTTGGTGGGCATGAAAGGAGAAAGATACTGCAAAATCTCCATTCCCACCCCACTCCAGGGGAAGGATACTGCAAGATCCCCATTTCCTCTCGATCAGCTGGGACTCAAGAGGCAGAGAATAGAGGGGGATGGGGCTAGTCACAGGTGGTATTTACTTTCCAAACTACTCAAAATTTCCATTGCTGGTTCTCCAGAACTGGTCAGAACCTACTGAATAGCACCTCTGATTTTGTAGTATCCTTCTCCTGGAGTGGGGTGGGAATGGAGATTTACACTATCCTTCCCCTGCCACGACCACCAAGCCACATCCAACAATTTATGCCATGCCCACCAAGCCATGCCCAACAATCTATGCCATGCCCACCAAGCCACACCCAACAATCTATGCCACACCCATCAAGCCATGCCCAACAAGCCATGCCCACAGAACCAGTAGTAAGAAATTTTGAATTCCATCACTGGTGGCTTTGTACCTAAGACAGGACGAAAACTCTCATTCTCCTGATTTCTAGTCTTCTCCTTAACTTCAATCCCAAGCCAGTTCTTGTTGGTTCCTAAAAGATATTGTCCTTCAGTATTGTGGACTCTTAAATTCTCCCATAGAAAACCAAAGATATTTTTCTCATCTCATCTCTAGCTCTGCAAACCATGTTTGCTTCTACCATATCCATAACTCCAATTCTTTTTTTGTTCTTCAGCCTTATTGTTCTTTCACTTTGGGATCCCCTCAGCTCCATCTACTCATGACTTTCTCACTCTCCTTCTTTTTGACCCATTGGCTCTTCTTTCATATATTTATTATAATTGATTCTCACTCAACTCCTTGTCAAGTTTTCTTAACAAGGATTTTCAAACATGGTTTGCCATTGCCTTCTTGAGAAAGAGCTGAGAGGGACTGACTGGCCCAAGGTCACCTAAATGGCTTCGTGTTTGAGGAGGGACTAGAGAGTACAGTTTTCTGGTTTCTAAAATAGTGCCTTAAAACGACATCAAATTAACTGCCTTTGCTGATAAACCCAAGTCTTATTTCTGTAAATCTAAGTGGACAGTAGCAGGCAAATTTGCTGTTATTTTTTCTTCTTTCAGCAAACTTTCATTCTTTGATATAAATGACATATTATTCCCAACTTTTCAAAAGCATGTCTTTTCAACAAATATTTTACTAGGGGCAGTAAATTCATGTACTTCCTTTAATTGTTCACCATTTATTTAGAATTTGCAATTCTCTGCTCTCCTGTTAGACACCCATACCTTGATATTGGATAGATTAATTTCAGATTCACATTCCTTCTTACATCAGAATAATCTTTACAACCGTTGCTGCAATAATTTGGAATCTGTCAACAATATAGCATTGTTTACATGCAAACACGTTTGTCCACAACCAATACATGTCTAATGTCAGAAACAGCATTTTTAAGAATATTTCCCATAAACTCATTCAAAAGCAAAAATGACAATAACCCTCATTGATTTCTTCCTTGCTCAAATATTAACTATTTGCTAAGCATTTAACTGATTCTCATGCTCTTTTCTTCTGTCATATACCACTCTTATTGTTTTCAGCTGTCAACCAATTCCACATTCCATAACTATTTGCTTTAGGAAACACTTTCTCCAAACCAACAAATCCATAATAAACTTCCTCACATGCTTTAATGAACTGCTGAAAAGGACACATCTGTTCAACCCTGCCTAGCATAAAGTCACACTGCACTTTCTCAATTTTGTTAATTGGGATGGGGAGGAAATGGAGGTAGTGACAGATTTCATTTCCTGGGCTCCAAGATCACCGCAGATGGGAATTGCAGCCAAGAAATTAAAAGAGGTTTGCTCCTGTGGAGGAAAGTGATGGCAAATCTAGACAGCATACTAAAAAGCAGCGATATCACCCTGCCAGCAAAAGTACCAGTGGTCGGTTCCTACCGGTTTGGATTGGTTCAGCTGAACCGGTAGTGGTATGATAGCCTGGGTCGCTGGAACCGGCAACGACCCAGGCCTGCCACGCCCCCAAACCAGTCCCCCAGTCAGCACCATTGGGGCTGCCATCTTGTTTTTTAGTCCTGTGCATATGGAGAACAATTTCTATTGAGCTGCGCATGCGCCCGCATGAAGCACGTGCATGAGCAAACCAGTAGTAGCCCCGGCCAGAACCCACCCCTGAAAAGTACATATAGACAAGGCTACGGTTTTCCCACTTGCAATGGATGTCTGTGAAAGCTGAACCATAAGGAAGGCTGAGTGCCAAAGAATGGAAGCCTTTGAACTCTGGTGCTGGAGAAGCCTCCTGTGAGTCCCTTGGACTCCAAGGCCATCCAACCAGTTGGTCCTAGAGGAGATCAACCCTGGCTGCTCTTTAGAA